GTTGTTAGGATTCTTTCAGCAATTAATGTAATATAGCTTAAAAATGCTATAATATTCCAGGAAGAGTTGATGTTTCAGCATGCAGAGTGCTGGAGTGATGTTGCTATGGCAGCCTTAGGCATGATTTCTTTCTCTTGCTAATGCCAAAACCTTTTTCTCCTGGAATGTCCAGCATTTAGTTATTGGTAATCTTCATCTTTAAATGGTTCTTTATAAAGTAACAAGACCATTTATCAGCCATTTTATTGCTTTTCCTAATGTAATTGCTGGTATAGGTAATGCAATACCACTTTGTGTGGAAGATACTGTAAATACAATCTAATTTAAATCTAAAAGACTTCACTCAGTGCAATGGTGGCATGAGTTGATAGAGCAGCTGCTGTGAAGTGTTTTTTGGTCATAGGTAATTGTTTTTTGCTTGTGACTCTGAACATCATGTCTACCCTGGGGTACCAGCACCTAATGTGATGGTGCAAGGTAAAGGTGACTCAGTATTTCCTTAGTGTGATGAAAACCAGTCAGCTTGTAAAAAGCTAAACCAACCTCATTTTAGCAGAGGTTTAGTGGACACAGAAGTTGTGTTCTCACCCCCAGGTCTTCCACCTGACTGCAGCCAGCTCACTGCTGTGTGGGCAGGGCTGAAAGGCACTGTGGAGCTGCCTTTGTTTTGAACCACGTTTGTCCAGTGGCTCACAGAAGTGAAGATGCTGCTCAGAGTGGGCTGCAGCCAGCCCTCCTGAATCTGGTGAGAGCCTGACCTTCTCCAGAGTGCTGTATGTGTAAAGTATAGCCGATCCCTAGCTAGCAGAGATTTCATAATTGCAGTTCATCACTTCGTGGGATTTCTCACACTCTTTTTTTCTCACTCATTGATGCTGGCATGCCACGTTTATACTCCTATTGTCATCGCAAATCCGTGTTTCAGGAGCAAAAGTAACCGTTACTCGTGTTGTGAGGATATTTCAGAACTGTGGATGGTAATAAGCTGTGCAGTCTTTGTGGTAGTTCACCGGTTTCTCCCATTTGAAATCTTAGTATGTCAGTTTTGCCCTCGTGGGAATTGCAAAACAACCCAAGCATCCCCAGGTAAAGCCACGGATGTCTTCCTTCTGCTCAGCTTGAGCCTGGCTGACTTTTGAGAAGTTTGGAAACATAGAAATGGTGGTACCTGTGCAAGCTGCTCTTCAGTCTGCACACTCAGAGATAGCTGTGCTGAACTGAGCATGGAGTTCTGGAGAGAAATGCCTGCAAAAAAGGCAATCAGAACAAAGCTTGTGTAGTGAGTGAGGTCTTGCAGTATCTGGCAGGGTACCCGGATGAAAATACTCTTTCTTTAAAGAATTGATTTCCTGTTATGTGTTAACGTGACTGCTGGAGTGATTCTGGAAGAGAAGACAACTTCAGCAAGGATTTGCATCCAGATTAGATTTTTTTTTCCTTCCCCCTGGCTGAACCTGCATTAACTTTCATTGTCACTTTGCCCGTCTATGCTACAAAGAAGCATGACTCTAACACAGGCAACATTAGAGGAATAAGGGATCTTTACAGGGGACAAGTGTCTGCAGAGCACCTAGTATAGAGCAGTGGAAGGAACGGGAGCACACACACACCCTGGGTGGGGAGAAGTGGTGGACCCTGGCAGGAGGTGCAGAGGCAGCATGGGGCCAGCCTACATGATGAAGTGGGCACATATCCAGAGCTCCAGGTCTGAGCGTGGGTCTGGGGTAGCAGAAGTCAGGGAATGGAGGGAAGCAGACTGTGGGAGAGGTGCAAAGAGGGCAATTCTCTTACCTGCTCTTGGGATTCCTGTAAGTGGGCAGTGTTTTGTTCTTTGGAAATGGAGATTTCGGTTCACTTCGACCCACTGTAGGGATAAGTAGTAAGGCTTCCGTCTGAGCCAGAGCTGCCATCCTTGTGTTCTGCTCTGGCGTTGTTCCTAGCCTTGGAGGAAACAGTTTCTGTCCCTCTTGGGGCAAGCTGGAAAGGTATTGCTGGTATTTGAAATCAAAGATGTTTTTTTTGAAAGTCTCTAACAAAATAAGTATTTCTGTATGTCTATATATGCACATACATACATACATCTATGTACCACAAACATTATATATAAAGATAAAAATTACAGCATTGTAGTGTTTGCACTGAGTTGCCTGCTTTGGAATGGCTGCAGTCCTGCAATTAAGTGTTCAGCAGTTAAAAGCATTCTCCATAACAAACTGCTGCTGTCAAGTGTTGCAGCAGACAATGGAAATGAGAGTGAACTCTGGCTTGAACTGATTTCTTTTTTTAAACTAAAATGATCATTAAGCCCCTCTGGTGCCTTGAAAACTGCATGTGGAAGGAAGTGTGATGAACATTGAGCTTTCCGAGGGAATCCTTGCACAAGCATGTATAGGTTTTTCTCCCAGAGCTTAGGGTTCGATATGCTGGAAAATATTTGAAATTAGCATCTCTGTGTGCTACTCGCAAGCAACACACATAGGGAGCCACAACTGTAGAGCGCTTCTTGGCTGCTGTTGAATTCAGGTGCTTGCTCGCTGAGGGTTCACTTCTTAATTTTGATACAAAAGTGTTTTTCTGTTGTTAAACACTGGTTAGCCACTCAAGGGAAAGGTAAACTGTGTAAATGGTGGAAAAAGAGAGCCTGAGCAAGTATTTCTTAGGTCAGCCCTGTTCCATGAGGAACAATCAATGAGTTAGAGACAACAGACATTGAAAAGAAAAGCTGGTATTTATGGACTAATGGTCTGAAAATTCTATAAAATCAAAATTTATTTTCTGTAAGAAGCTGACGGTCAATCTAACGGGGAATTTGCTTAGCCTACATAAGGGCAGGTATTGCCTTTGATATGGAAGTTCAGCTGAGATGCTGGATGATGGGGCTTAAAACTGAAGCACAGATGCAACCTCTGTTACAGAATATTAATTAGCTCTGGTTGTAGAGATTGGTATTTGCAAATGCTGGTTCCTCCAGATCAGAATCCACTCTCTCCTCCCTTGCCCCCAAAATGAAACAAGAAAAACGAAAACAAAATATTCACCAGGATGAAAATGCTGGCTGTAGCATAAATGGCTGTCAGGTGGAGCTGGAGGATGTGTTAGGAAGAGTTTCTGCACTGCAGCTGCTTGGGATCAGTGCAGGTGTTGAAACTTTGAGTTAATGATTTGAAAATGGGAATTGTTGTTTGATGTCTGAAAGAGGCACCGGTGAAAGCTTCTGTGAGCTCTGGAGCTGGCCCTTGGGCCGTGAAAATGCTCAGAGTGAGTTTCTTGGGCCTTAGATGACAGCCTCAATCCAGTGCAAAGAGGACTATTGTAGTGTTCGGTCCTCTGCTTAGTATGAGAGCGTGACATATTTGGGCTCAGCACTTGGTTCAGCATTCTCCAGTGGGTGCTGCTGTAACTATATGTGACCGTCCCCACAGAAGACTTCAGGGTTGCAAAGACTGTGTTAGGAGAGCCAAGGTTGCCAGACCTCAAAGAAGGTGTGGATGGAGCAGCAAACAACATCTTGGTATGAACTCTAACACATTAGACTTAAAACAGCTAAACCGAAAACAGAGTTAGAAACCCTGTTTCTATTCCTTTCAACATGGCAGTAAACCTTCCTGCTCAAAGCCAAACGCACTTGGCAAATTTAAGTTAGGCTGAAAGTTGCATGTGATGATTATGTTTGTGCATTGTGGAGCTTAAAAAAAAATCTATTTTTACAAGTAGGTAATAATAAAAATAAAAGACAGTTACTAAGTCTTAAATCAAACAAGAATGTGAAAAGAATATGACTTCAGCAGCAAGTCAAAATTGAATCATCAAAGACATTGGGGTTCTCCAGTCACGTTGGCTCCAGGAGGACTTCTGTATGGGTCTCTGTCTACCTTGCTCTCTGGAGGAAAAAGCTAATTGTATAACAGTGAAGACACATGAAAATTTTAAGTAGTTAACATAGTATTTTTTCTTTTTTGTTCTTTACAGAGGGGATTTAAATTGAGGAAAATGTTCCACTGCAAAATCTTGCGGGTTGGAGTAGAAGTGACATGCAGAGTCTTCATGCTGTCAGCTCAGCCTGTTCGTACATATGCTGAGTGTGGCATATTTAACTGCAGGTTAGCTTGGGAGCTTGTAAGCTTTGAGGTTTTTGGGGTTTTTTTTTCATGTTTGGTAGCAAAATATTAAGATAAAAATATTAAAATAGCAAAAAGGTTTTACACTTAAAATCTGTCATCCAGTCTTCCTGCCACTTTACATTGCTTTGTGCAATTCTTGTGGGATAGCTGGTACTGTGCCAAGTTAAACTTGATTTCTGCTTTGGTTTGAAGCAAGAAAGGATGAAGGTCGTGGACTTGAAAGGAAAGGAAATGTGCAGGGATAGAATCCCTAATTGTCAGAATTCTCTATTCAGAGGGGTAATTAAATCACACAGTGCACCATTGCCAGGAGCTCAGCTTAGAGTAATTTGCAAATCTGGTAGAAAAAGGGAATGGCCACAGAATTGCTCTTTTGTTCTTTTTTTTTGTTGTTGTTGTTCCTTTTTATTTTTTAACTTTCTTGGATAGAAGAGGGAGCAAGGAACACTTATTTTGACAAAGAAGGACCTGATCTGGGGAGGTGACCAAAACGAAGATGATGTCTGCACACTTTAAATAGCATGTCCTCTTTCTGTCTGCTTTTATGTGGATTCTGTTTTTTTTTTTATTCTGCTGCCTAAGTTCCTTTGGCTATTTCTATCTGAACCAAACTGTAATGTTTTTTCCCCTCTTTTGGTAGCTGCTTCGTGACAGAATAAAAACTGGATGCGAGTTGTGCATTGGGAAGTGATTGATGTGTGCTTGTGCAGCTTGTAGCACTATGAGAAATACAGGTGCAGCTGCTTGATGATGTTTGCTAGAAGTAGACTGAAAAGGCAAGAAAATGAAATTGCGCTTCTGTACAAACAACCTGTTGTAAAACTCTGGGGCAGGAAGCAATTCCGGAAGCAAAAACTCCATTTGTTTCTGCGGGACAAAATGAAGAGGCTTCTTCAAGGCCAGGTAGATGAGAATCCAAACCATGCTCATCACTGCCAGCTCTCCCCGGTGGAGATCGAAACGGACATGTTTGTTTGTGGAATAAAGAGGAGTTCTGCAAGCACTGAATTTTCCACTGCTGGAGGGGACTTTCATCAGGATGGAGGACATGATTCCAAGGGAGTAAGCGAAGTGTGTGTTGGTGAGGTGGAACTGAACTGGGATGGCTATGTAAAAATACCATGCTCAGTTCAACAGAACAAGAAGGACTTGCAGGGAAGTTCTTCTGATGCTACGACACAGGCCTCTTCTGAAAGAAAGGGCAGAGTGTCTGAGGGGCAGGACCTTTCTTCCTTGAACATTACCATGAGCTGGAGGGAGGTAGCTGAAAGGCAAGGGTGCTTTCCCCAGGAAAAGTCCACTGCGTACAAGAGTCGTCGACGGCAGTCAAGAGATCGCTCAGCTGATGTGGTTGATTACATTGTTAAAGAGCTCCAGGGAATAAGTCGCATCCAGACAGAGATTGCAGAGCTCCGGCAGCACCTCACCTTGATAAAAGGCTCTGTGGATGAAGTCTCCAGCTGCGTGGATACGGTCTTGAGTGAGATAGAAGGCCTGCAAGGTGGTTCCACTGGCAAAACCCAGGGTACGCATGCTCGAGAGTCAAGTAGGGAAGTACACAAGGAAGAACCAGTATTATATTTTTATGGCATCCCAGAAAAAGATGGTGAAAACACAGTAGAGCTTATCTGCAGCTTCTTGTCTGAATATCACTGTTTCAATGGTATCCAGTGCAGTAAGTATATAAAAGATGCTTATAGATCAGATACTGGTACAGGCAAGCCATTAACGCCAAGACCAGCAGTCGTGAAACTTGTCAACTGTGAACAGAGAGACTTTATTTTACAGAAATCTATTGTTCTGCAAAGCTCAGGGGTCCGAATTGCTACCAGTGAAGAGCAAAAGCAGCAGAATGGCCAGAGGGGCCGCAAAACAGATTCAGTCTCTTTGCAGTCTGGCTTCAAGAAAAATCATCGCAACTCAGTGAATCCTGATGCAGCTCAGAGAACTGATGTAGTTGGGAACCTTCAAAGGGACTCATGCCAGATTAAGTATAAAAGCACGAGTAGGAAAACACAGTGCATAGGGGAGAGACTTGATTCCGTGCAGAAGTCAACCTTGACTAAGAAAAGCAACTTGATAAGTGAAACTGGGAAGGAAGCACAAACAATAAGCTGCAGTGAGCAGCCTTCAGATGACAGTGACATTGACCAGGCCCTTCAAGAATCTCTACAAAGTCCACAGGTGAACAATTTGGCCAAATTGGGTGATGGAAATTACTGCTGCTCATCTGACTCTTTGGGCCATGCAAGCCAGATGTGTGCTTCAAGCAATGGTAGTGAGCACAGGCTTGACACTGAAAGTGTCCCTCGGAATTCTTCCCTTGTAGGTAAAGATGAGGGGATAACTGCAGAAGAAATCGAAATAGACTCTGGTACCCCATGCAAATTTACCAGTGTGGAGAAAGTTGATATTCAAAGAGAAGATGTTTCTAGTGGGGTGACAACCATAAGCTGTGATCATACAACAGATGAAATGGCTGATAGTAGTGACAGCTTGAAAGATATGATGCAAATGGACCTGAATGATCAAGATCCAACTGATCAGGTCTTTAGGGATGTCCTGGAAAATTCTCAGTATTTCCTTGACCACTCTCGGGATAACATTGATCTTGTAGACATGAAGTTTTACACTAATAAGCTTGGGAAAGCAATTAATCACTTCAGGTCTGCTCTGCAGGTGGTGTTTCACAAACTGGAGACAAGTGATTCTGAAATCCTTTTAGAAAATGATAGTGGATTACAGATGGATGATGACAATACGCTTATGCTGACCAGTTCAGGTATGTGTGGCAGCTCTGACAACTTTGCAGAAACCCCTCCTAGTCAGTCCTCTGAGAGCCAGGCAAACACAGCTGTCACCAGCGAAGCATCTGCTGAGATGCACTTTGTTCCTTCCAGTCTTTCCTCTGTTCCACATGAGCCTCCTGTTTCCAGTTTGATGCCATCGTCCGACTGTGAAATCCCCACTGGGCAGCACTCGCCTCCCGAGGAGCTTGGAGGAGACATGAACTCTTTACCTGACCCCGCAAAGGAGTGCAGACCCATGAGCCTTGACAAGGTGTGCGCAGAGACCATCTACCTGAACAAATGCATCAACAATTTCAAAAATGTGCTGAGGGAAAAGAGACAAATGCGTAGGAGACTCTTAAAAGAATTAGCTCAGGAAGGAAACTGGATTTCTGCTGAGGAGACAAATTCAGGTAAACAAATGTTTTTACGGAGATGTCAAAGTCTGGTATTTGTGCAGCCAGTAGCCAACACCTTATTCTGTGGGTGAATAATTTGTTAGAAGCTGTGAGCAGGCAGTTACAAAGGCAAGTACATATGCTATACAACAGCACTGGCCAAAACCCCCTAAAATTTATTGTGTAGCACACTGAAATGCAAGTTAGCAAGCTTCACCTCTTTTTTTTTTTTTTTTTAATTTCTTTGTGAGAGGGAGGGCGATTTGCAGTGCATCTTCAAAATAGCAGGTGCGAAGGTTTTTTACCATAATTCGTTATTTGGTTTCTTCTTAAATATAATAGTCAAGGCATGATAACAAAGTGTGCATTTGAGCTATAAGTAGCTCAATAGTAGATTTGCAGTTTTGGGAGTTGAGTGGATCCAGACTTCAAGTGACTCCACCATGAAGTGGAAACTCTCAATATTTGTTTACTGCTAGATGTTATCCTAGAGAGACCTTTAAAAATAAAAATGAGAACAGTTGAGACCTGTGTTTTGGTATTGTTTCTATAACTTGACCATGAGATAAGAAATTTTCCATTTCCATGCAGCTACATCCCTTTATTGCCAACACAGATAGTGAAGTGTTTGACCACAGCAGATGTGAGCTGATAACAGCGGTGCAGCAGTTCTGGTTAACCCATTCCTGAGGATGTGGGAGATAGAAATGACTGACATGTTTTGATAGGCCTTGATTTGATAAAGCAAAACCTAACCTTGAAATGTAGGTGCATCTGCCCCCTCCTTCTCCAGGGAGTGAGAAAAACTTCGTGGTGTCATCTCTGTCCAAATCACTGCACAGTTAAGGGAAGAGGCTTTGTTTCAAGAGTGGTAGATGTTGCAACTACAGCTTGAAATCTTCACATCCTTCTCGTGAAAAGCCTTGTATCAAATGTTTTTTTTACTTTTCTCCCTGCACTGCTGAAAGCTAGTCAGAGTAATCAGAGTGCTCTTTTTCCCATTGAAAGAGTTGTCTCGCTCCAAGTGTCTTTTCCAGTGACTGCTTTCGCTGTGAAGAAACAATCTGTCAAGCCGTATTTGACTTCTGTACCAGTGACCTTCTCAGTTATGCAGATCATAAAGCTTGTAATCAGCTTGTTGCTTTCTTATTTTGTATGGTCCTTAGTATAGGGTTTATTCAAACAATAGGTATTTAATGAGGGAAACACTAGGATTTTGTTAGCAGGCTTGGCACAGACACGTGTATTTTTGTGTTTCAAGGGAATGTTTAAATTACTAAAGTATAGGTAGTACAGATGAAACTGATTTTTATTTATTTATTTATTTTTAAATTCAGAAAGCTATTTTTATTTTCTGTTAATCCTTTGTTTTTTTTCGTAGTGTTTCTATAGTGCTCAAGTCCTGGACATATGTCAAAATTTTAGGAACCAAGGGAACAGACAGTGCTTTGGATTGGCATTTGCCACAGTGCAACAAAAGTATTGAAATAACCTATTTCTGAATGTGAGAGGAGGCTGCTCACCTCAGCAGAGTTTGAGCAGTACAGGCACGTTCACAAGGCGAGAAGTAGTCAAAAACAGTTAAGGAGCAGGAGGATCACAGATGGATTTTGGTACCTCAGATCTGGCTCCAGGGTAGACTGGAATTCCTGAGCATCCCTGGTTCACTTCTCCTGAACATCATCTAGTGATGTGACAAAGAGTTGATGCTTGTGTGACACTTGTGTAATGGCATATCTATGTGGTAGATATGACAATCGAAGTTATAACAATAAGTATGGGATGAAATCTCGGTGCAGGAAACGTGCTCTGAGAGACTGGAGGCATCTAAAGGAGTCAAGGGTAGTGGAAACACCAGATAAAGAATGAGAAATGACAGAGAACTGGGAAGAAACCCTGGAGGAGTTGTCAGGAATCAAAGCAGCCCAGACCATCAGGTCAGGGAAGGGGAGAGCAGGCCTGTCCGGAGTGCAGGTCGAGTGCAGGTCACAGCAGCAGCGTTCGCACCGGGCAGGCCAGGAAGCAGTGGATGAGTAACCACTTGGCAGTAGCCAGAGAAGGAGATTAGAGTATTGCCAAGGGCTGTAGAGCAGGGCAAAATTAATCATATAATCATTCAGTTTGAAATAGGGTTGTTTTGGCATGCATTTTCTGAGGAGGTGAAGCAACAGTTTTAGGTGCTTCTTTTCTGTACTTGACTTAAAATTTGAGCCAAGCTCCTATTTTTTTTTTTTGGGAAAAGCATCATACTCAGAATGCAATGCAGGTTGTTCGTTTGCTTTTTTTCCCAGCTCCAGATGAGTGCTTATGTCTCACTTAAAAAATACAATTTGTTCTTAATAGGCTTTTAAGTTCCTGGGTCAGGTCCACTGAAAACCCAGTTCTGCCTGCTTGCTTTTTGATTCTGAGCCTGAACCACTGTATTACTCATGCCTGCTTGAAAGTTCCGTTCAAGGTATTTTATTAAATGTATTTGGCAGCAGTCTGCAGCAAAGCAATGGATGATAACTTTGAAGGTCTTGGTAAATCTGTGTCTTTTGGTGAATCAGAAAGATGCACTAGCAGAAAGGTTTAAATTATTTATAGTTGTACACAGATGAAAATTACTGGAACAATTTAGAACTTGGCAGATGCATGTAAATAATTGTTGTCTTTAATTTGGAGTCAAAAGAGAAATTATAAGATATCCCCTGAGAATCTGAGCAAGCTTTTAAAGTTTTAATTTGAAGGGGGAAAAAAAAAGTGTAAGTGAAGATGAAGGTAGTTGGACTTCGTGTATGTTTAAAAAAAGCCCTGAAATGGTGGAGATTTTTGTAGATGTAACCTGACTGCTCAAAAGTGGAGTGGTGAGAGGATTCTGTGATCAGGGTTTAACAAAGTTAGTCACCGTTGATGATGCTGTGAGCATACCTGCCAAAATGAGACATAATCAGAAGATTTTAAATCTTTGTCTACATTTGTTCAAAGCTTTGCCAAACTTCATATTTGTCCTGAAACTGTACCTAACAGCTTTAAACTGAAGGGGCTCAGAAATCAAAGAAAACGTACGGAATTTAAGGCAAAATAATCCTCTTTTTTTTTTCCCCCCAAAAAATTAGTCTAATGCAAGATTCATTGCTTTGTGTTTGTATAAAAATAAGTGTGACCTATATTTGAGAAGCTCTAGTGCCCTCAGGCCTTAAGATTTGGCAGTGCTAGTCTGTGTCAAGCATTTATCTGTGGAAAATGAACCCCAAATGAGTGAAGAGAATCAGTCTTTGAAAAATGTGTAGTTTGCATATGCTCACTGGTAGCTTGCTGCAGTTGGGCTGTTGTGCTGTTAGAGACTCCATCTGTCCTTGGCATTTTCCAGCTGGGGGCTAAAGCAGGGCTTTCCCTGCTCGGCATGACTGAGAGCCATGGCAGACCTGAGAGGGGACAGAAGTCCAGGTCGTCTTTGTCTTCTTGTGCTCGGAGACTTCATGGGAGACATCAGGAAGGAATCTGGTTCAAGTGCAAAGGAGATAAAAGTCCAAGAATGAGGGAAGTCTGGACCTGCTTCAGGCACACTGAACAACCCCAGGGACCAAGTCAGGAGAGGTTGGGCTTGGGCTTGAAGGGTTTGAGGTGACTGTGCAAAAAGAAGGAGAAAACCAGATGACATGAAGTGGAATTGGGGCTGCCTAAGGTGAGAAAGTTTTGCTTAATAGAAGGGGACAGCCAGGAGTATGGTATAGAAAATGGCTTTAGAGGGGAACAGTCAGAACTGTCTGGGCCCAAAAAAGCATGTTCCCATCTAAGTCTGGGGTAGACGCCAAGTTTCCTCAGCCTCTCTAGGTCGGCAGGTCTGTGCAGAGCTGACTGTCAAAACATGGCACTCCTGCAGCACCGGCTGCTCTGCAGAAGACAGCAGCATACTGCCACTTGCATTTTCTCCTCCATTAACTCACTCATGTGGGCATGTTTTAAGGTAGAAGGCAGGGTTTTTACTTTTGCTACAATCCAGCACTTCATTTGCTAAAGTAATTTGACTTCTCCTTAGTGACTGAGTTAAAATAACTTCTCTATTTTCCTGTCTTAGTGATTGCATGTGTATAATTACACCCATATAGACAGTAACTTTGAAAACTATTTTAGCTTTTAAACCAATTTGAGTGGCTCTTGTTGCCATGAAGATATTCCTTCCTCTCCATCTTTCATACACAAATGAGTAATAAGATTCTTCTATGTAGATAAAGAATTATCTGATTGGAAGACTTAAAAAATACCATGTCTGTGCCGGAAGTTTTGAGTATGACTCTCATATAACTATACTAGCCTTGAAATTGCCTATCCATAAACATGAGATTTAGTGTAGGAGGCTTCTCTATTTTTTTTTTCCTCAGAGGAGAATTGCCTAGATTTATAAAACCAGAAAATATCTCTCTGTCTTATGGTACTTGCAAAAGCAAAATGTGTTTCGTAGGAGCTACCAGTTTCATCGTAATAGGCAAAATGTACGGGGGGTGAGGAGTGAAGGAAGGGCAGTGCTTCAGATGCAGGCAGTGGATTCAGTCTTGGGGAAAGGGGGACCAAATCTGTTCCTCTCTGTAATAAATACAGGTTCTCTTTCCAGTGTGTAAAATTCTTCAGTTAATAAAAGAGGAACTGTAACTCTAAAAATCAGCTCTCAAAAGCATGTGTTCTAATGCATGTTTAGGGATCAAATTTGATTAGCTTAACTCAAGATTAGTTGGTAGAGATTAACTAACTGGTGTATGTCCCAGGAAGCACATGGGAAAACTGTCCGCTGCACAAATGTTTTACCAACTTGCAGCAAATGTTTACCCCACTTTCTGAAATCATTTTTACAGAGCTCATGGCAGAAATCTGGTCTATTAACTTTTGTTCCTCTCCTTCTCTTTTTTTCTTCACAGAAGGAGGTAGAGGAGAGCTCCAGGTTGTACATGTTATCCCTCGTAACCAGCATCTCTTTCTGAAACTCCTGTGTGTGCATGCCTTGTCTTCGTGTAGCCAGTTGCTCCCACTGAGGCGCTGAGATTCAGTTCAGCATGTTGTGGTTGTCAGAGGAATTGTTAACACTTGTGTATGAGTTAAGAGTCTGTTCAGTGCGTGTGGCCTTGTACAAAGAGGAAAACGTGAATGCTTGGAGTGATCTCCTCCCTTTGGTGCTCTGTGGGGTGTGTGTAATGTGCACAAGCACCGCGTTAGCAGACTACAAATTGTTTATCTTTTCCAGTCTTTGTCTTTATGAATCTTGTTTAAACCAAGTTATTTCCTCATTTTTCCTCAGTTTTCTTATTTCATTCCATCTCTATCTGGTTTGTACACTTAACAGCAGCTAAAGTCAAAAGTACCATTATGGTCTATAATATTAAGCTTAAGCAAGACTATGGAAGCTGGAAGGTGTCTGCTGCAGATCCCGTGCTTTTTTAGCTAGCTACAGACTGCACTTTGCATTGAGCAGGTCTGTATGCCCCATGGGAAGGACTGGACTTTTCCCTTAATACCCACAGCTGTTGCCTCTCCACTCCTGGACTGGTTGCCACTCTGTAATACAATCACCCTGTGGGCAACGGGTAGCTCTTTCCTCCTAAGAGGATCCACAGAATTTTTTTTGTCCACTGCTGTGTAAGATCTTTGTGTTTGCAACTGTACCTCATATAGAGAAATTTCTGGCTCTTGGATTCTCAGCTTTAGTTTCTTGAGTCTATGCTGTGTGGATTCAGTGCCTGCTGTGCTTTTGCCTCTCCCTTAATTGTATTAATCAGGCTAAATCAGCTTCCTGGAGGAGGCTGAAGATTGCATGGCTTTAGGGCCTCCATGCAGATCTCATCCTTTGAGTTTGATAAATTTGCATTTCTAAGCTTTATTGCCTCATGTATCAATAGTTTTGTCTCATTCTTACTGGCAAGTGTCTGTCCATTAATGCTTTTTCAGGAATGCAGAGATATCCAGTGTGAAATATTGGTGTAAAATTCTGTCCTCTTCTGGCTTCAGTGCAAAACCACTGCAGCCTCTTTTAAGGTGCTCATCTGGCAGCTGGAAAACTGATACTGGAAGATACATCAGGTGGAAGACACTTCCTTTGGGGCTCTTCAGTCATTATTTAAATTGATGCTGTTGCAGAATACAGTGAATTAAAATAATCCCTTGGCTTGTTGCAGCTTTGTATTCCATGTAAAATGTAGCATACTTGAGTCAATAAAGGCATTGAACCACAAGACCGACTAGTTTAATTGGGATGACTTAGTTCAGTCTAATTCTGCTAATACCCCTGAAGAAATGGTCTAATTAGGCATGACCAGAAGTTTAATTTAGGCAGTGAAACAGTTGCTCCTTGTTTTAGCCTGATTCAGATTAATATATAGCTAAATTGAGGTCTTTGAGGTTTAATAATGAAGCATGGTATTTGAAAACAAGTTAGGATGATTTTCAAAACAAATAAAAGGTCATTATTGATTTTTCTTATCTGTTTAAATAAAGCAGCTTTCCATGTTTTACATCTGTTTTTATCTAAGAGGATAATGTGCTAGACGCAGTACTTCAATGTGATGGAAAGTTACATTGTTAGAAAGCCTTTTATGTGGAGAGATGGATTTATATTGAAAAGGCTAACAGATCTGGGGATGTTCTTCCTTTTCTTAGTGCTGCTCCAGACTTGGTGGGTTTTTTTCTTTTTTTTTTTAATGCCTCTGTCCATTTTATGGACTTTCTCTTATACAGAAGTACATAATTGTTTGTTCTGTCCATTGTAACACCTTTTTGTGTATGAGATATATTGTGAAATTTACAAATTGCAGCTTGGGTAAATAACTTCTCAAATTACTTGTAATTCCAGGATAAGCAAAACTCCTATTACTATCCTTTTTAGTCTTCACTAAACACTGCCTTCCCTATGACTGAACACCTTAAACGATCATGTCTGTTGACTTGTTTAATCCAGAGTATTAAATTTATGCTACTCTGTCACTGGCATTATTTTGCTAACTGGTTCTTTATTGACAAGAAACTTTAATTGCTTGGAGAAGACCTTTCAGCAACCGACTGCAGCATGCTTTACTGTGAGTCAATACACTGCGTTACTAGGCATGACAAGCACTGCCCTGGACGCAGGTATTTGTTGGAGAGAGGCTCTAAAACTGTCATCCATCAGCATCAGAAATAAAAAAAAAAATTGACTAGAGATGTGATGGGCTGTTTTGCTTACATGTTTGCTTCTCCATCTTTTCAGTGTTTCTTTATGTGCTTGCTGGAGTTTTTTTAAAAAAAAATCAGATTCAGGCTGGCCTGGCTGCTTTCAACGAGAGATCAAGTGAGAGAGCTGTGCAGAGAAGTAAAGCATAAGCCAGCCAAAGACTTTCCGTGATGTGCAGCATGTGGATGTCTAGGTGTTAAATTCATCTACTTTCCCTTTGCTCTCACCGTTGTTTCAGGAAGGACAGTGCTAAAAACTCTCAGTTTGTCCAGTGTTGTTCTCATCTGCTCATAATTTCTTCTGCTTGCCCAGGCTCTAAGCAAGCCAGGCTGTCATCCTGGGCTGAACTTGAGCAGATCCATGGCTGGTGACAAGACCCAGAGCAGATACTGGAGCCCTCCTTTGTTCTGGTGCAAGTGCTGCCTTCAGAGGGTGGGAAACTCCCCACCTGCAGCAAATCCATCAAAACAGCATTGCTATTTGCTTTCTTTAATTGATGAGGAATAGATGAAGTGTTCTTACCCGCAACAATGGTGTGAACTGAGGATTATTTTGTTTAACTGGCTCTCCCAGAGGTGTTTGGAGCCTGTTAACCCTCATGCTAACACTTGTGGGTAATGCAGCCTCTGGTTCTTTGACTACATATGTCAGTGCAACAAGGGACTGCAGTGGACTTCTTGTCTTGGTGACTGCCAGCCCTCTGCCATCGTGTGATACTGTGCCATTACCTCATCTATAAACTGCCCAGTTTCCTTCTTTAAAACTGGTTAGGTTTGGTGTCTGCTTCTCCTTTTGAAAGGCTACAACAGAACTGCCATGGTTAGACACGTTCTAATTTTCATCCTCCATTTATATTTAGCTGCAGTTCTTCTTCCATGCAGTGTGTTCTCCTGTGTGTTGAGTAAGCACAGAAAAACGTTCTTTTTGCTAGAGTAAGCAAACTGTCCTCTTCTCCTCCTATAGTATTGTGTTTACATCCACATGCTGCTTTTGCCATTTTCCTCTCTGAATTCTTTTCACTTTGGTATAGAACAAAAAGATTGTATATGCCTTTCTGAAGGAGTCTTGCCAGCACAGTACAGTGGTATTCATGCTTTTATTTCTATGGAGACATTTCACTGGACATACTCCATAGATGATGTTCCCTCCTTACATGGCTGTATCACAGTGGCTTATGGCCCGTGTGATGACTAGAACTCAAGTCCGTCATCATGTGCTTTTCCCCACTGAGGAATGCCTTATATGTGGCCAAATTCACAGCAGGCTTTGGGGCTCTGACCTTGCCACATGTTTATCCTCTGTTGTTGCAATCTTCACTGCCATCAGTTCTTTCCATGGGGCATCTGAGTTCTGTATCAATAACTCTTCCTGTGTTTGTCATTGGCAGATTTTGCCAGCAGATCCTGCTTACTCCCACTAGCTTCCTTATTGCGTTGTCCATGGCTGGCTCAGCGACAGTTACTTGTTTACCCACCTTAAAGCTCCCTACTCCTTCTCAGCTTATCCGGCCTTATTAACGTCACATGGCATTGCATCAAAAGTTTTTTGTTGAAATAAAAATTCAGTTGATAATTCTTTTTACAGTCTAAAGAAAAATGGTTCCTTTGCCAAACAAACAAAATCTTTTCAAAGCTGTATTTTTTCCCATTTTCCAATTGCCTTCATGTTAATTCTTTCCTTCGTGTTTGCTCTGAAGCCTTTCAAGCCCATAATGAGCCTATGCTAGCCTAGATGACATTTCCCTCCTTTCCCCACGCACCTTAACTGTGGGTACTGCATTGGCTCTTCTGCAGTCTTAAGGCATCAGCCCTTGTTTGATGGATGTCACTTGCTGGTTCTCTCAGCATTTTCTCAGGAAGAATGCTGCCTGGAGCAAATTACCTCTTTACTTTGCTTTCATCAGGTGATAACTCCTGTTTCCACATAGCCATCAGCTGCCTTGCCCCTGCATCAGTATTGTCACTTACTGAAAGCTTTTTTGGTTGCTTTGTGCTGTTGTACCAAGATGACTTTTTTATCTTGACCCTAGAGAAGGTCTTCCTCTTCTCTTGTTTTCTTTTTATTTGCATGTCTGAAAGGCTTGGCAAAAGTAATTAAAATAAATGAGCAGAAGTACAGTTTATCTGGACCGTCAGCAATTTTGACTTGGCATGTCTCAAAAACTGGGAGATGGTGGAGGCTTGTTTCCTGATCACACTTTCTGCCCTTCCCAGCATCCCCACTCCAGCTGTTCTCTGTTGACTTGTGGTTTCCTGCAGGAAATGGTTATTGCTCAGTTAGGTAACTGGATTTTTCCTGGATCTTTTTCCCCTTAACAGACTTCTTGATGCTCTTGCAGTCTCCAGGTTGCAGTGTTGCCCATGCTATTTGTGGTCTGTTGATGTCTCAAATATTGGTCGCTTATATTTAGAGTTTCAAACTGATTGAAAATCCTGTTAACACTAATTCCTTTTCCCACGTTTGTGTTTGTCATTCTCTGTCATTCAGTACAGCTGAACCAACTGGTGTCAAGCTTGGTCCAGTATAAATTGTTCCAGGATTGCTTTCTAGCCACAGCTCTTCCAAGTGTTCAGAGGTAACAGTAGGGATGTCCTGCCTTGTGTGCTCTGAAGGATCTGGTTGCATTTGCATCATGAAATCTTTTCTCTTGACCAGTAGTTGATTTAGATCCCTCCAGAGGAAATGCAGGTTTCAGGCTGAGGGGTTCCGGAAGCCCAGCGTGGAGCGGAGATGTGTAGAGCACAGTCCTTTCTGCAGGAGCCTGGAGCCTGCTGTGCTGCTCTGGCTGCAGGGGAAATGGGCACCTGTGCTTATGGTCTGAGCTCCTGCCTGCTCTGCAGGCCTGTGTGATCATGTGGAGAAGCTGCGGTGTCCGTTCAGTTATGGATAACGTCATGTTCTTCATGCGTGTTTAAAAAGAAAACAATAAATATTATGTAGTCTTCAGATCTGCCTAGCCCTGAAATTGTAGGAATAACAAATAAGAAATTTGGACTTTTGCTGCTGTACAAGTTGAGACCTCAAATAGAAACCTGTTTTCCTTGGTTATTTCTGATCTTTTGGGGAGACCTTGTCTGCAACCTCTGAACAACCTGAGGTTGCACAGCTCATCCAAAGCACAGGACAAAAAAACGCCCAAAACTGAATCTTTCTTCTGGAGCTGTGTTCTTTTATCTAGCGTAAAACTGGAGCTTATTTCCTGACAGGTACTCTTTTACTTTGTGATGATTCTCAGGTTGCAAACCCCATGCCTGGAAATAACTTGTTTTCCACTGTGTGCAAGTTGCAGTCTCTATACTCTTGCCAGGCATGATTATCTGAGGTTGGAGTGTTAGCTATTAGAAGTGTGTCTTGTTTACTCCTGTCTGAAACCAGCTTTTCTTTCAAAGGAGTGCAAGAGAATGTATGAACTGTAAGCTGGAACAAAGAAGTTTTCAGTTATAGGAAGGCCATTTCCCCCTTACCTAAAAACTTCTCTGTTTCCACCAGGTACATGCAAGTGTTTAAACGCATCTCAGCTCTAATTAGTCCACTGAAGATTTTCAAAGAAACAAAGCATCTCTCTGTAAACACACTCCTAATGCAAATGAAGAATATGGTTTTAATTAATGAATATGAATCCGTATATTGCAGTCTGTGGTGTTTTCTATCATACTGTGAGCTCCCAGTTCACTTGCATTCATCTTGCCAGTGATGGATGGGCCTTGTTTGACACCTGTTGGAAATTAAATACTTGCATATGAATAAGTGGAGCTGCAATGGGACCTCCCTGCTTAGGGGGCTAAAGAGTCTTTGCATTTGAGCATGAACGATGTTCATAAGTGTTTGTACAACGTTTCATGTTGATCACTCATTTATGCATTTCATACAGGTGCTTTTAATTTTTAGCATCTTCATTATGACCATGTTCATATAAATGTTGATCTGTGGTAACAGGACCTCTCCAGTAACTCTTGCTTTTGTTGAGCTGGAAAAGAGTTGGTCTTCGAGACTGCCTTTTGAAAGAGTGCACTGAACAGGCTCTTTGGGTCCTGGCTCTAGGTGTTCAATGAAACTGCATAGCCTGTCTGTGTCCATATGACTTGTCCTGACATGTTGGTCATTAGAGGTGCTTGACTAAGTTTCTGTATGCATTTGCCTGCATGCAGTGTGGTCTGTTATCCTTTCCTCAGAATATAATCTGAATACTTTTTCTGATGTTTTTGGAAATCAATTTAATATTGTTCTTTTCCCTTCTCCCCATTTAAGGGTCAAGATGAGGCTGATCCATCAAAACCACCCTGGCTCAAAGGGTAAGTGGTATTTTGAGACCTTGTTTCCTTGTGTTTATAATTACAGTGTATTTTGAGGTCTGCAGTTCAACTTAAGTAGAAGCAGCACTTCTGATGTTTTTAATGGCTGTTTTCAGGAATAAAGTGGCCATGCCGCACTTAGGGCCAGGCTGCTGCTATATTTCAGAGTCTTCTCTTGAACAGCTGGGAGTGGACTGTGCAGCTTGTCAAGAGATCTGTAATTAAGAACAAGGTTATAGTTGCAATGTATGATCTGTAATGTGATGGCAGCAGTATGAAATAATCCCTGCTGAGCACCACAGAGCGGTCTGGATGAGAGCCTTTTTCCTGAATTAGTCACTGATGGCACCAGGGAAGGGAACGAGTAGCTCAGAAAGGTTGCTGTGTCTTTTGCTCTTAGAAGAAAAAAGTAATTTTGGGGCAGTCTTCTGTTTTTGGAATTACTTCTGTGGTCACTGTAGTAGTCAAAACTGCAGTAACTCTGGAAATCATTTAAGTTTGCCATTTTTAAAACAGTGATCATCATGCCTCTTTTGCACTGGTTGAGAGTGAGAGGCCGTGCATTCTCTCTGCAACACACTACTCGTAGCAAATGAAGCGGACAAATTCTGATTGTGTTTAATTTCACCGTGATACTCTGCATAATAGGTGCCAGCACGTTAGCTTCCCTAGAATGCTCTTTGGGAAAAAAAAAGACAATGACACGTTTTACAAGCTGCTAGGTTATGTGCCTTGTACACGATTAGGGCGGTACAGTTGGGTGGCGGTGCACTCATGAGGAGCTGACATAGCTGCAGATTTGCCCTGAAATCTCAGCAAGAGGTTGGCTTGCTACACACGTAAGTTAATTCTCCTGCTGCTGAAGGAAGCTTCCCTATTAAAATGCAAAGTTAAATTGGAGGCTTCTTTGTACGGCTTTCTGCTTTTGTAGTCGTTGTTCTGCCATGTTGGTATTCCCGCAAAACATCCTCTACACCTGCGGATGCCTGGAGCTGCCTAGCAACCCCGTGCTTTCCTAAGGAGCCCAGGATTTCGCTGAGCAGGCTGCTGGAGAACTGGCAGTTAGCAGGAGCAGAAGACAATGATTTAGTCTAACCATAAACAGCACCTTCTCCTGCTTTAACAAGGAGACAATGTACTGAGTTTATTGGTTCATGCACACAAAATTATTTCCAAGCCTGAAAGATGAATACACCTACAGTCTTGAAATACTTAAAAATGTGTTATGTCAATTCAAGGCAATGTTTGCTGTAGTCTGTAGGTTTTTTTCCCTTTCTATGTGAGCTATAACAAAACGGACTGCTAATGTAGTTTTGAAAAAAGTTTGTCTTATTCACTGTATCCCACACGCAAGAGATTTCCAGAAAAGGTGGTTGTGGGTGGTGAACCCTTAATTCTATCGTTAGTAATCATCTTCTGTCATTGCAAACCATCTTTGCTTGCTTAAATTTTCAAAATTTAATGTAAGCTTCTATGTGATAAAACTTGTGTTAAAAGATGAATACTTGCTTCAAGCTATTTGCACTTCTAGCTTAATGGTATAGCGTAGTTCCTTGTCTGTAATCACTGGCTTTGGAGAGAGAGCTTAAAAAAAAATAAATTACAATTGGTATTATGGATCAGTCTCTGAGTGTAATATCTGATACCTATATATTTTATTTATTAGTGCAAACCATCTTCTCATATAGAAATGCTATTCATTCCTTGATACATCACCCCATAATAATGCTCTAAATATTACATGCATTGCAGAGGAGAGTTACCCTATTACATATAAAGCTACAGTATGCATATTTGATGCATTGTCAGTAGTTCTGTCTGCGCACTGTAATTCTGTTAAGCCGATTAGAGATTGTGCTTGAATAAAGAGACTGAGGTAGCTGAAAGCACAAGATGAATAGTTCTGAAAATGAAGAATTGTTACTGAAAATTAACAAAAAATATTAACAAGCTAAAAGCAGGTCATCTGAGTGTATAAATATCTAGGTACTAGGATACCTCTTTTCAGTGGCGAATGCAAGCACCTTTCAGATAGTCTTGTTCTCTGTCAGTCTGACTTACAACTCGTTCTATCATAAACCTCAGTCTATCATAAATATTTGGCAACAAACCAGGTTGTAACTAGACATGTTTCTCAAGCACAATAACTTGTTTAGGCTCATCTTGAATTTATAAAGCATGCAATTTTAATGTTTTCCTTTCCTGGGAAATGTCAGAGTGTCATAGTTTCCTTTCAATTGAATTAGAAAAAAAAGATCATTGGAAATCGTGTAGAAAAGAATTGTAAATTTCCAGCTGCACCATTGGCTTTTAGCAGGAACATTGATTCTGGATTTTTACTTGTGACCATTTTGTTGCACTTTTTCAGCTTACAGACTCTCCCTTTCTATTGTGCATATGATTTAGTAATTCAAGCCATTTGACACAAATCTTTGACTCAAAACTTACCAATAAGCTGTATTGTGATTTAAGTAATGCTGGAATTCTTGGCATTATCTGGATAGTCTTCTATGACACCTATTTTACCCCAAAACAGTATTGTTAGTATCAGAAAGGGTTTGTAACATTAGGGCAGCAGACGAAAGTCCATGTTTGATCCGAGCAAGACTGTCCTTAGTTCTGACAATATAAACACTTTATGCAGCTATTTCTTATTTCGTGGTGTGGGTCAGATTTTTCTATAATAACCAGAAGGGATTATTGCAGTGTAACTTGGGCAAAAAGTTTTTCTGGAATTCTCTGTTGGAAGTGAAGGTAGCCTCTCAGTAAGGATTTCCAGCATTGGAAAACTGTTCTCATTCTTGGCCAAAGATTCCAGTAGTCTTAATGAACTGCTGTAAATCTCCACCTTCCCCACGTCCGAGTTTGTCTCCTGCTCCCCGCTGCGAGGTCTAGTTGTCGCAGCTGCCTGCGGGTGGTTTGTGTTCACCGTGGTCAGAGCCGTGCACGGTACTGCGGCGCAAGCGTGACTCATGCTGCATGCAGAGGCGACGCGGTTCGCGCAGTTACACGTGACTGCTCACCTTCCCACCAGGCTTGTTCAGCCAGCAGCAGCTGTCAGCTCAGCCGTGGCTCGGACATGTCGCCTTCCTACGCCCCGTCAAAAGAGTCAATTTTACTGTTAACAGCGCTATGGCGTGTTTCTTTATATAATAAACTGTTTCTCTCTGACATAGCCTTGTGCTAGGCAGTGCTGTGACACCCCTGTCCATCCTAGGGCATGGGCTGCTATAAAGTAGCTTTGATCGTTGTTTGTTTTTTCCTGGGTCGTTTTTTTACCTTTGGCTGTGTTGAAAGGGGATTTGAGTAGGTCCTGCATGCCAAGGGGTGCAGGTTGCCTCTTGTCACTTACCAGCCTCCCAATTTTCATGGCATGTGCAAATTTGTAGTTGCAGTTCGGTTTCCTAGATTGTTTTAAAGTGTAGCTCCACGTGTGTCTGTTACTGCAGTAGGAACAGTTTGACCCATACTCCTCATTCCTGCAGTTGTGGTGTCCTACAGCATTTCAGCTGGGTGTGGTGTACCAAATCGGGGAAACGTGCAGGTTAAAAGTGCCAGCCGGTTCATCCCGCAACTGCAAAAAGGTGTAAGCCAACATGGCATGGGGTGAAAATGAATGGCTAAGGATAGAGAGGCAGGAGGTTCCTTTACAGTCTCTGTAGCTGAAGAAAAAGGCCTTGGAAACCATATTCTTAGTGATACCAAGGCATGAGAACAGCATGGATATGGGGAGGTTGGGTGGGACACTGAAGGGAGCTGTGGGTTTTGGCTGGCAGCTGGATGTTCATTGCAGGGAGGGAGTCACGTCACGGGTCTGTTCTTCAGTTTGGGGCAAACACAATAAGCGCAACAGCAGAGAAATGTGTGCTCAGTTCTCAACCTTAGCGAAAAACATTACCTTAAGGACTTAACAGATGTATGCAGTTGACTAACTTGGGTCCTTTATGCTGAATTAACAGACCTTCTTTAAGCACAGGCAGCTGTCCATGTGGTATTACCAGTGCATGGCAGGATCCAGATACAAATTATTCAGGCTGGTCTCATCAGGAAAGAAGGAGGCTGTCACGTTTTATTTTTGCAGACTCCAGGTGTTGCTGGGGTAATGTTCCTTTTGCTCCATTGCCACCTCCACCAGCAAATGGCAGCTCATATGTGTAGAGGTTTGTATGGCTTGAAGCACTAGGCACCATATCTCTGCAGATGTGAGGTTTTTCCTCTAATAATTATGTGGACCTCAAAGGCCAGAATTAAGTATGTTCTAACCTAGAATCAGATGATGAGCAGCAGCGTGCTGCCCCAGGGCTGATCCACTTTGACATGCTCCCTCCCAACCACCGACACCAGGCAGGACTGCCTGGATTGTTGCATGCGAAGAAGATAAACACTTAATCGTTTTTAACATTAACTTTACGCTTTCTTAAGTATAATATTCTGGCTGATTTTGCTTCCTCCAGTAAAGCATACCCCGCACAGCCCAACCCTAAAGACTGGGCACAGGATGTTTTTGAGTTTCCAAGTCTTTCCTGCCATGATGCTCAATGCCGATAGTAAACTATAAACTAAGGTCTTCCCTAAGAAGCAAAAGGTACTTCTGAGAGCGGAGATGTGTGGCTCAGTAACCACAGACTAATCCATGGGTGAATTACTGCCACAGAGCTCTGGTTCTGCCACTAGGTAAGTACTTTTGCCAAAACGGTGCCCTGTAGAAGAGGCAGGGATAAGGCTGCCTTCACCGACCACGCTGGCAGCAGTGACTCTGCAAGCATGTGCCCAGCCTACTCTGAGCTAGCTCAGAGCCTCAGCTCTGAGAATGGGAAAATGACCTTTTTTTAGTGTGTTAACAGCTTTGGTTTATTATTAAGTTGCATTGGCCATGAACTGATTCTTCCTTTTCTCCTTGACTATGATAGTAGCAAGGAGACTGATGTTTTAAGGAAGCTTTTTGCTCATTTGTTTACTGTCTGTCACTGTTGGTGAGATTTTTTAATCTTTCTTTTTTTTTTCTTCTGAATTTCCAGGCCTGCAGGTGGTCTCTATGGCATTGATAGCATGCCCGATTTACGCAAAAAAAAGCCAATTCCACTTGTCAGTGATCTGGTAAGAGATTTTTCTTCAGCCACACAGTCATTGGTGGAAGTGGCTTTACTTTTTTGACGTACGGTAACATTCATTGTCATGTCAAGAACTTGAAGGTTTCCCATTTAGTTAAATTGATTTTTACAGTAAGGGGTTAGGAGTTGTGCTTGGAAAAATTTTAGTGAGAGTGAGCTACAGTTTTGTAGACTGTTTCATTCATTTGCCAGAATTAAGGTATTTTTCATGTTCTTTCCCTTTTCCTTTTTTTTCCTAGACAGAATATTTGATTATTTTTAAGCCTGTATTATTTTTAAATCTTTTCCTGAAAATCACATACTTGGGGAAAGTTGCAATGTCCATGTGAGATTTGGCAGTTTACCAGGAGGTTGGAATTTCAAAGGACAGATAAACGAGCATATGTGCTTGGATTTTTAAAGTAATTTGCAATATTGCCAGTAGGCTTTTGCACTGAGGAAGCACAAGAACCAAGCGAGTAATGAGGACAAGTTTCATATGCTTGTGTGACATGGTGAAAATAAGTCTTCTGCAGGACAAAAGCTTTTCTGTTGGCTGTGTTCAGTACACATAGTGATTTCATACTTGGGAGAAATTATGTTAACAGCTGAAAGACCAAAGTTTCCATATCCTGTAATTCCTGTGAAAAGATGCATGCAATCCTCTCTGCCAGCTTATGCATGGAAAGGCTAATATGTCTCTTAAAAACTGCTTTTATCTTAAATCTTTGCAATAATGGCATTAACTTGTGTTACTTCCTTTGTATGCTTTCATTCTCTCTCTCTACAGGCCATGGTAAGTGGAGATAAAGACTATCCACCAAGTCTTCACCAGAAACAAAAATTATTTTACCTTATTTTCCCTCCAATTTTTGCTTTTTATTTTTAACCTGCAGTTTTGCAGTGCATGCGTATCCAGCGCGCTGTCCTGCTCCATCACTGATGGAATGAACTTTTTCAGTTTGTCTTCAAACAGCATAAAGTAGAGCATAAATGCAGGTTTCTGGTAGGGTTTGATCATTTCAAAGAAGATGTTCCTAGCTTTAATTGCCTTCTCTGCCTTCATCTAACTGGAGTGACTTGCTGAAAAAGTCTTTTGTGTGCCTGTGTGAGGTGCTGCAAAGGCACTGCCCTATGCTGTCCAGGGCTGCAGAACTTAGTGTTGGCATGATGTGAAAGCGGCAGTTTTGAGGGAAAAATGCTGTTCATTGCGTTCAGTGATGGCCAATGAATGTGATACACCAGCACATTCAAACCTGAGCTCCCAACCCACTCTGTCCTTTTTTTATCCTGTTTATTTGTAACTCTTTCGCTGTCTTGTTGGGGGTTGTTGTGTACATTGTAAAACTGATAAAATACTCTCCTTTTGGATATGAATGAAGTTAGACATAGAAGAGTGAGTTCCATGTAGTAGTCCCATGTAGGCAATAGCAAAGTTACCATTGCTACCAGAACATAGAAGTGGAGATGTGAACCCAGGTTTCATTGACAGTTCTTACCAGAGAAACAAATAGACATTTACCAGGGTGAGACTGGTTGTGGGCAAATGGTAACAAGTTGGAGGCCTTTCAGAATATGCATTTGACTCTTCTGAGCTCTGATGTGAGCTATCATTTAAGAAATCAACCTGAATGTAATAGACTGCTGGTTTGATGTCTGGGATGACTGAGTCCCCCATCTCTGGGCATGTAGTGCCAGAGCATTTCTGAATACTGGTGGTGAATAACAGACTTTCTTCCTTCTTAGTCACTGGTTCAGTCCCGGAAAGCCGGAATTACCTCAGCAATGGCCACTAGAACATCTCTCAAAGATGAAGAGCTGGTAAGTGGGAGGGTTGCTTGGCTCCTCTTAACTTTTAGTAAGCAAATTAAGGGAATTTGGCTCTCTGGGATGCAGAACCAGCTTCACAGATGTCTAAAAATATAGACGCAAAGCTTCTTATATCACTTGTTTAAAGAAACCAAACATGTAAAAAATAACATTTAATGTGTCAATATGATCCTGAAAAATTTAATCTTACCATTTCCTTCTGTGCTATCTACCATGGGGGACAGTGTGTGAAACTTGCTTTATGCAAGATATTCCTCATCCACAAACCTTAATTCTTTTCTTCCATCTCCTCCACTTTTTTAAATGCCTGTAGAAGCATTTTTTGAAGCTGCTGCTTGTAAAAGTTTGATTAATTTGGCTATCTCAAATGTGTAGATTTATTGCACTGCCCATGCCTTTTCCCTTAAAACTCATGTGTTAACCAGCAAAAGTAGGTTCAGTCACCTTCCGGGATGTCAATTTATGTGTGCTCTTGCCTTCCAGAAATCTCATGTCTACAAGAAGACCTTGCAAGCCTTAATTTACCCCATCTCTTGTACAACCCCACACAACTTTGAAGTGTGGACAGCCACAACTCCCACTTACTGCTACGAATGCGAGGGGCTGCTGTGGGGTATCGCACGACAGGGAATGCGCTGCGGTGAATGTGGAGTCAAGTGCCATGAGAAGTGCCAAGACTTGCTCAATGCTGACTGCCTGCAGAGTGAGTAGTGGCCAGTGGAGTGCAGTTGTTCCAAAAGTGTTACCAGAACTTTTTGAAACGTATAGGTGAAACCTCAGTGATTAGTGAAGCTGCATTTATTAACATGACTTACGGATTTATGTTCCTGCTTGAGAGCAAAATATCT